AGAACGTCTGGTCCCTTCAGAAGAAGATCATTCATACCCACGCCTTTGTATGTCTGGCTACTAATCCATACAATACGAACCGGTGTTGTCACCGAATGAGGGTTTGGTGCCACCAGGTGGCTTACGTACCACACTGGTCCGTTCCACTCCTCCATGATTTTGTTGGTGAGTTTTATGGCTGCGCCTCGCTTGACCATTTCATGGATCTGGGTAGCATATACGACTTTCCAGTCTGGCTCTCTGCTTAGTTGCTTTTCCATCCTTAAGAAACAAGCCTGGACTGCACTTTTGTTGTTCGGGAGAGAGGCTGGATCTACCGTCCAAGGATACTTTGCATCCCAATGTGGAGCCGGTGTGTGAGCATCCCCCTTCTTGTAGGTGAGGCCTCCTTTAATGATCTCCAGTTCCCTCTCCTCTGCCAGGGTAATTTCTTTTCCTCCTGGTGGACAGTTTCCACATCGGCATCCTCCACATCTTGGCTCACATGCAGCTCCGATGCTGTCCCAGTGCCACCACTCAAGGAACTCACGGTCACTGGCAGCTGTAAATTTGGTCTGAGTCACATCCTCCTGCTGTAGCTGGGCTGTGTCAATTGTTGGACTTGTGATTTCTTGATATTTGACAGCTGCTGTCCTCATGGAGCGAGCAAAGTGTGTTTTGGACTCATATGCTGCAACCTCCACTTCTTCAAATAAGTCGGGATGTGCTCCACCCGCTGTTTTCCCCAATGGACCCTCCCACAAGACGAGGTCTCCCATGATTTTTACCCTCTGGGGAGCGAGTCTTCCCTCTCGGTGGCTAATGAGAAGTTCAACCTCTTCTGGCCTTTCCAATTCTGTAAGTTTGACTTCTGGGAAGAATTTTTCAACTTCTCAGGTTCAATTACTTGATGCACTCTGGCGATTTCATCCAAGCCGTAGCAGACCATTTCATTAGTTCTCTCTGTCCCTTTAGGTGTCTTGACTCTGACTTTGAGGAGATACCTTTGTGTGTTCACCTCCATGGTCATACCACCAACCCCATTCACAACTAAAGTTATCTTCTCATGTCTTAACCTCAGTCTTTCAGCAGCCTTATGGGTAATGTAGTTTGTGTCTGAAGAAAGGTGAATTAAAGTCACAATCTTCTGCCCTGCGTTTGCCGTGACTTGCATCAACATCATGATGACAGGAAGTTCAGAGAGCCCATTTTTCTGCAGTAGCTCAGACTGGCCTGAAGCATCGAGTGTCACTGCGGTTTTGTTGGTGTTGGTGAAAGCCTTTCTGCATCGATCTGCCATTTCCTGGGAAAGTTCAGACAAGATCTCCTCTTGTTCCTCCGTTAGCTTGCTTTCACCTTTGCCGTCTTTTCCACTCTTTCTCTCTTCCCCTCTTTTGACTTCTCCTTTTGGGCAGAGGAAAAAATTGTGGTCTGGGGCACCACCTTGTTGCCATACCTGTTCTCCAGGACTCTGAACATGTCATCGGCAGTGGTGTAGGTTGAAAGTCTGAGGTCTTTTGAGATTTTGTCATCCACACTCTCCAGGAGTTGAATTTTCTTAACTTCAGTTGATCCAGATGGCTCTCCCTGCTTTTGCAGCCTGTCCCAGTCTTACCTCCATCTGTGATATTCTCTCTTGCTTCGCTTGAAGATAGGTAGAGAGATTGGCTTGATTCTCACTATTGGTGTGGATGTTGCCGGTTGGAGTAGTAGTTTCACTCCTGTGCCTTGCTCATTGATCATCCGTGCAGTGGCAAATTCAGGTCTCCTTAACTCAAGCCTGTAGTAGAATGCTCTTACGTCCTTGACTCTTCCATCTAATTCGTCCTTTAATTCTACAGGGATCCATCGCTCCCATGTTGACATTGCAGAGATGGCCTCTTTTATTCTCTTGTCCAAGAGAGCGAGGTGCACTTCATAGCCCTCTAAATTGGCACTTTCCACAGGTACATCAGCCGCTTTATCATTGGCTTTTTCTGCTTCCAGGATTGCCACAAGAAGTTCACTCCTTCCATTCCTCGACCACAGGCTTGTTTGAACAATGTCTCTTATTTCCGCCAACTTTGTTTCACCTTAATTTACAGATCTATCAATGTCAGCCTCTTGCTGTTCATTAAGACCTGGTTCCTTATCCTCAGTCATGTCAACCTCCAGTCCAATCCTGTAGTCATCGTTGGCATCGAGCATCTTTCTGAAACAATTAACTCCACTTGAAGCATGCTGCTTGCTCCTCTTGAAATGAAGTTGGCTTGTCTGGTGAAGCTGCTTTTTGCAGTGGTCCTCTCCTTTTTGAGCTGCTGGACCGACTTCCCCAGGACATCTTCTGCCATCTTGACTTCCTCTGCGTCAACAGCTTATTTCTGGATCTGAAGCCGTTTATCCTCAGGGCCAGGCCGCTCCGCGTGGTTTACAACTGTCAAGTCCTCCTCTTGTTCACCATCCAAAGGGACAACTCAAATTTCCGACTCAATCTTTTTTATTTTTAGTTTGCTTTCATTTGATTGGTCTGTCCAGTAAAATAGCCAGTAAATTAGGTTGTAAACCTTTAAAGACAGAACAAAAAGTTACCATTTTAATTAAACATTTTAATAAACTTAAATTAGTTTAAACATTTAAATAATAAACATTCTAAATAACTTAAATGAATTAACCATTTAAGCCTTTTTCCATTGGCGTCTTTGGACTGAACCTGTGAGTGAACTTGGAGTCTTCTCTCTGAAGTTTGTTCTTCTGAATGACTGAGCCCCTCCATGCCTTCACAGGTGCTCCAAATCAGTGAAAATGATTGATCAGGTGACAAGCAGCCGGTTTGCTGCTGCTGGTGCACTTTGGGAAGTATAGTTCTTTGACTCACTCCTGAGATTCAGCTCAACAATGACAGCTTTGCACACTATTGGTATTCTCTCAACGAGCTTCATGAGGTAGTCACCTGGAATGCATTTAAATTAACAGGTGTGCCTTCTTAAAAGTTAAATTGTGCATTTGAGCCAATCAGTTGTGTTGTGACAAGGTAGGGGGGTGGGGGGGGGGGGGGGGGGGGTATACAGAAGATAGCAATATTTGGTAAAGGACTAAGTCCAATTTATGGCAAGAACAGCTCAAATAAGCAAAGAGAAACGAAAGTCCATCATTACTTTAAGACATGAACATTTCAAGAACTTGTGCAGTCTCAAAAACCATGAAGTGCTATGATGAAACTGGCTCTCATGAGGACCGCCACAGGAATGGAAGACCCAGAGTTACCTCTGATGCAGAGATAAGTTCATTAGTGTTACCAGCCTCAGAAATTGCAGCCCAAATAAATGCTTCACAGAGTTCAAGTCACAGACACATCTCAACATCAACTGTTCAGAGGGGACTGTGTGAATCAGGCCTTCATGGTTGAATTGCTGCAAAGAAACCACTACTGAAGGACACCAATAAGAAGAAGAGACCTGCTTGGGCCAAGAAACACGAGCAATGGACATTAGACCGGTGGGAATCTGTCCTTTGGTCTGGAGTCCAAATTGGAGATTTTTTGTTCCAACCGCCGTGTCTTTGTGAGACGCGGTGTGGGTGAACGGATGATCTCCGCATGTGTAGTTCCCACCGTAAAGCATGTAGGATGAGGTGTTATGGTGTGGGGGTGCTTTGCTGGTGACACTGTCTCAGTTTTATTTAGAATTCACTTAACCAGCATGGCTACCACAGCATTCTGCAGCGATATGCCATCCCATCTGGTTTGGGCTTAGTGGGACTATCATTTGTTTTCAACAGGACAATGACCCAACACACCTCCAGGCTGTGTAAGGGCTATTTTACCAAGAATGAGAGTGATGGAGTGCTGCATCAGATGACCTGGCCTCCACAATCCCCTGACCTCAACCCAATTGAGATGGTTTGGGATGAGTTGGACGGCAGAGTGAAGGAAAAGCAGCCAACAAGTGCTCAGCATATGTGGGAACTCCTTCACGGCTGTTTGAAAAGCATTCTAGGTGAAGCTGGTTGAAAGAATGGCAAGAGTGTGCAAAGCTGTCATAAAGGCAAAGTTGGCTATTTGAAGAATCTAAAATATATAATATATTTTGATTTGTTTAGCACTTTTTGGGTTACTACATGATTCCATTTGTGTTATTTCATAGTTTTGACGATAGTTTTGATGTCTTCACTATTATTCTACAATGTAGAAAACAGTAAAAATAAAGATAAAACCTTGAATGAGTAGGTGTGTCCAAACTTTTGACTGGTACTGTTTATATATTAAACAGCATGATCATTACACAGGTGCACCTTGTGCTGGGGACAATAAAAGGCCACTATAAAATGTGCAGTTCCGCGTCGTAATCAACTTCAGTGGGCAAATGCTCACCTTCGATGGCCACTGGCTCGCTGGAGAAGTGTTCTCTTCACGGATGAATCCCGGTTTCAACTGTACCAGGCAGATGGCAGACAGCGTGTATGGCGTCGTGTGGGAGAGCGGTTTGCTGATGTCAACGTTGTGAACAGAGTGCCCCATGGTGCCGTTGGGGTTATGAAATGGGCAGGCATAAGCTACGGACAAAGAACAGAATTGCATTTTATTGATGGCAATTTGAATGCTCAGAGATACCGTGACGAGATCCTGAGGCCCATTGTCGTGCCATTCATCCGCCGCCATCACCTCATGTTTCATCATGATAATGCACGGCCCCACGTCGCAAGGATTTCTGATCCACACCCGTACCTTTTTTTTAAGGTATCTGTGACCAACAGATGCATATCTGTATTCCCAGTGAAATCCATAGATTAGGGCCTAATTACTTTATTTCAATTGACTGATTTCCTTATATGAACTTTAACTCCGTTTTTAAATAATGTTTTGTTGCATGTTGCATTTATATTTTTGTTCAGTGATAGCCTGTGATTGCATAGAATGCTTCCAATACTTTATACTGTACATGTGTTGTGTTCTATGTTGTTATGTGTCTTGTATGTAGCATTCCGGCACCACACATGAGTTCCCTCTCAGGAAATAAACGTTATTTGATTTGAATTGAATACATATGGTGGATATTATTAACAAAAATGTCCCTTTTAATTATTCTGCAGGAATTGCTGGCACTCCAGTGATCTTCAATGTGAATGGAGATGCCCCTGGTCGCTATGAGATTTACCAGTACCAGATGAAACACAACACCACAGAGTATAAGATCATCGGCCACTGGGCAGACCAGCTTCATTTAGATGTATGGTTATTTATCCACTTGTTTATTGCATGGCACCCGTCAAGGTTTTCAGTAATGTGAATCTAAGTAAATACTGTATGCAGTTAGAAGTGTCTGTGAAGGTTAATACAGTACATCATATTTTTTGGTGATAAAAAGATGCACTGACTAAAAACATGTCATATTAAACCATGATATTAATGTATTTTTCATTACTGTATCCATAGCCTCAGTCCATGCTTTACCAACTAAGTTAAGTCATGCAGGACCTGGGACTTATCTATATGATAAAAAGACAGTAGATATCAGGGGCCTGCTGTGGGGTTACTGTTGCACACCAAATCATAGCTGTTGTGGAATGCAGGCTCAGGGATAACGGTATGAAGAAGACATATTCAGGAAACGCAAACAACCATGTTGCCATTCAGAGATTATTTACTGTGCTGATTCTGATTCTACCCCAGGCCATTTCAAGTAACCATCAGGCATCTGAAACATATGGTAATAAACTAAGTAATGGCAATAGGACAAGACTACGATGTGGTATTACATTATGTTAGCATTACCAATACATTTTAGTAATTTAGCAGACACTCTTATCCAGAGTGACTTACAGTTAGTGAGTGCATACATTTTTCATACTGGCCCCCCGTGGGGAATCGAACCCACAACCCTGGCGTTGCAAGCACCATGCTCTGCCAACTGAGCTACAGGAGGACCAGTATTACAGCATTTGCTTGTTCTTCTTAAATTAGGTGGAAAGTGCCTTTAAAGCAAGGCTTATGTGTCTGAGAAGGGGACAGATATGTAGTTTCCTGCTGAGTTATAATTTACAAAAAATGCTGTATTCCATGCTTTAAGATAAGAACAGCTTTCAAAGCAATTACTTTGTGATTGAAAAATGGTGTAGTGGTCTTGTTAAATGCTGTTTACCATCCTTAAAAACAAATGTCTTTCATCCCACCATCCTTGTGTTTTTGGTTTTCATTCTAATCCACTAAAAAATTATTGAATTGTGCTCTCATGCATATGTAATATTCGTTTTTATTATGCAACAAGAAAAACAAGATAGTTGTGGCCACACAATTTGATCAGTGTTAATGACTCTAAACATTTTTATGCAAATGTTATTCTAAGTTTATCCAAATTTCATTTGGCCTATTCAAGGAAAACATGCATTAATAAAGTACACTTTTTATGACTGTTTAATGGTCACAGACAGATAGATAACTCCTCCTGTCCTTCACCTTCTTTCCGCCAGACTAAGGAGATGCGGTGGCCTGGTGGGACACTCCAGGTGCCCCAGTCTATCTGCAGCCAGCCCTGTTGTCCTGGGGAGAGGAAGAAAACAGTGAAGGGTGTCCCCTGCTGTTGGCACTGTGAGCGCTGTGATGGCTACCAGTACCAGGCCGACACCTACAGCTGTAAGATGTGCCGCTTTGACCTGCGGCCCAACAAGAACCACACGGCCTGTGAGGCCATCCCCATCGTCAAGCTGGAGTGGAGTTCCCCCTGGGCCGTCATCCCCGTCCTCATCGCTGTGCTGGGAATCATGGCCACCATGTTTGTGGTGGGCACCTTCATCCGCTACAACGACACGCCCATCGTGAAGGCATCAGGGCGCGAACTCAGCTATGTGCTGCTGACAGGCATCTTCCTGTGCTACGCCACCACCTTCCTCATGATCGCTGCCCCTGACGTTGGCATCTGCTCCCTGCGACGGATCTTCCTGGGTCTGGGGATGAGTATTAGCTATGCAGCGCTGCTCACTAAGACCAACCGTATCTATCGCATCTTTGAGCAGGGGAAGATGTCAGTGAGCGCCCCCAGGTTAATCTCTCCGGCCTCCCAGCTGGTCATCACCTTCAGCCTGATCTCAGTTCAGCTCCTGGGGGTGTGCATCTGGTTTGGTGTGGACCCGTCTCAGGCTATCATCGACTATGAGGACCAGCGCACGTCCAACCCGGACATGGCCCGTGGCGTGCTCAAATGTGACATCTCAGACCTTTCTCTGATCTGCCTGCTTGGTTTCAGCATGCTGCTCATGGTCACCTGTACGGTGTATGCCATCAAGACCCGGGGGGTGCCAGAGACCTTCAACGAGGCCAAGCCCATCGGCTTCACCATGTACACCACCTGTATCGTGTGGCTAGCCTTCATACCCATCTTCTTTGGGACCTCGCAGTCAACAGAAAAGGTAAATGTTTACTTTGACAATTGAACTCTTTAAATCATGCTATAAATTCAATAATGTAATTTTAAATATGTTTTGCTGTTGAATTTTTGTTATATTATGATAGGAACATTTTAATTCAAATCTTCAAAATGGTTTAAAACAATGATGTATGGAAGAATTGAGTCATCCTTGACAACTATTACTTATACTATTTCCTGTTTTGATGAATTTTCCAACGTTGTCCGATTGATCCCTCAAATCTAGTGTGTAAATGGTGAGCACCACGAGGACAAGACAATTAAATTCACTTGTGTGAGCCAAGGATTGTCTGACAGTTTTTCCATTTGGAATTACGCTTTGCTCCTGCAGTTTATTGTGAGAAAAATGGCCCACTTAAATTGCTCTTGTTGTTTAACGTCAGTATCTTATGTGCGTGGATGCCTCAGCTATTCATCATGTGATAAGATGATGCTGCTTTCTGTTCCACTCAGGGGATTACCGGGCATTGAGTGCTGACTTGTGCGGATAATTCATTTCACCCAAGTTTGTTTGGATTTGTTTTCTTTAATTGTGTTTCTTTGTATGTGTTTGATTTTGCTTCATAGTGACAGGGAATGCCAAGTAGTCAGTCAATCAGTACACTCTGATGTGCAACGAAATGAGAGATGCTCATCACAACAGATGCAATGAAAATCACTGCTTTTGATAACAAGTGTCTTATTGGGTAGAAATGCACTGTTTGTGGCATTGTCTTTCTACTGGAATTTTCGGACAGTGGCTTGTCATTTGATTTGGAACGTTGTATTTTCTGATGATGTGGATGAATAAGCCATCAAGAATGAGTTATCAACAACTAAAATGACAGGCATTTTTTTCTGAAACAGGCAGCTTTGAAATGTCGGCTACGTTGGATAATTGTCAGATATGGTTTGTCATGTTTTCCTACAGACACACTTTAAGTGACTGACTCACCAAGCCAAACGGGGGTAAATAAAACTATTTCTCCCAAACTTTCAGCACACATGTCTTCCAACATACAGTACCAGTCAAAAGTTTGGACACACCTACTCAGAATAATAGTGAAGACATCAAAACTATGAAATAACACATATGGAATCATGTAGTAACCAAAAGACTGTTAAACAAATCAAAATATATTTTATATTTGAGATTCTTCAAATAGCCACCCTTTGCCTTGATGACAGCTTTGCACACTCTTGGCATTCTCTAAACCAGCTTCATGAGGAATGCTTCTCCAACAGTCATGAAGGAATTCCCACATATGCTGAGCACTTGTTGGCTGCTTTTCCTTCACTCTGCCGTCCAACACATCCCAAACCATCTCAATTGGGTTGAGGTCGGGTGATTGTGGAGGCCAGGTCACCTGATGCAGCACTCCATCACTCTCCTTCTTGGTAAAATAGCCCCTACACAGCCTGGAGGTGTGTTGGGTCATTGTCCTGTTGAAAAACAAATGATAGGCCCACTAAACCCAAACCAGATGGGATGGTGTATCGCTGCAGAATGCTGTGGTAGCCATGCTGGTTAAGTGTGCCTTGAATTCTAAATAAATCACCAACAGTGTCACTAGCAAAGCACCCCCACACCATAACACCTCCTCCTCCATGCTTCATGGTGGGAACCACACATGAGGAGATAATCCGTTCACCTACTCTGCGTCTCACAAAGACACGCCGGTTGGAACCAAAAATCTGAAGTTTGGACTCATCAGACCAAAGGACAGATTTCCACCAGTCTAATGGCCATTGCTCATTTTTCTTGGCCCAAGCAGGTCTCTTCTTCTTATTGGTGTCCTTTAGTAGTGGTTTCTTTGCAGCAATTCGACCATGAAGGCCTGATTCACGCAGTCTCCTCTGAACAGTTGATGTTGTGATGTGTTTGTTACTTGAACTCTGTGAAGCATTTATTTGGGCTGCAATCTGAGGTGCAATTAACTCTAATGAACTTATCCTCTGCAGCAGAGGTAACTCTGGGTCTTCCTTTCCTGTGGCGGTCCTCATGAGAGCCAGTTTCATCATAGCGCTTGATGGGTTTTGCGACTGCACTTGAAGAAACTTTCAAAGTTCTTGAAATGTTCCGTATTGACTGACCTTCATGTCTTAAAGTAATGATTGACTGTCGTTTCTCTTTGCTTATTTGAGCTGTTCTTGCCAAATAGGGCTATAATCTGTATACCACCCTCTACCTTGTGACAACACAACTGATTGGGCCAAACGCATTAAGAAGGAAGGAAATTCCACAATTTAACTTTTAAGAAGGCACACCTGTTAATTGAAATGCATTCCAGGTGACTACCTCATGAAACTGGTTGAGAGAATGCCAAGAGTGTGCAAATCTGTCATCAAGGCAAAGGGTGGCTACTTTGAAATATATTTTGATTTGTTTAACACTTTTTTGGTTACTACATGATTCCATATGAGTTATATCATAGTTTTGATGTCTTCACTATTATTCTACAATGTAGAAAATAGTAAAAATAAAGAAAAACCCTGGAATGAGTAGGTGTGTCCAAACTTGACTGGTACTGTATGTCAGGTAGACATAAGTGTACAGAATATACTACACTTTGTTTGTATTGCATATTTGAAATATTTACCTGAATTCCTTACCACCCCAATAAATGTGTCACTACTGAAACATAGTGAACAAGTTGCAATAAAGGGAGAGCCATGCACAGTAGTGATCATTTTGATTAACCTTCTATTACAGATCAATTTTAGAAAATGTATTTGCAGTCCAAATCAACAAAATAGTAAAAACATGATTTTTGACCTGATTTTCAAAACCTTAGAGAATTATAATCTCTATTGTTCTCTGTAAAATGTTCAATGTTGATTGTATGAATCTGAAACTTGTTGATTGAGTTACTTATGCATCTAATTATTTATGTTGTTAGATATTTAAATGATCACTTTATCCCCCTCAGTTTTAGTTTTATGTCCCTATATAAAAATAACAAAAAAGTTAAAACGATTGAGTGACAGGTTGGCGCTCAAAAAACTACACTGTGTTGCTGTGTGTAGGCAGCCTGGTCTCATAGACTAGACGTTACATAGTAAAAGTAAATCCAGGACACCCAAATTAGTATAATATTTTACGTTTGGTACATAAGACAGAAAGTAACTTAAAGGTGCAACAAGCCGAAATCATTCCAGCATTTCCTGGTTGCTAAAATTCAAATAGTTCAACTAATTTCAGTTGATGTCACAAAACAATCAGTCATTGTGTACAGAATCATTGTACCATCTAAACCACTGTGAAATATATTTTCCATAACCAAAAATATTGTATTTTCAGCTGGTGTACAAAACCGAAATTAAAAGATGCAAAAACTAAACTTAATATTGGGAAGCATAGAAATAGTGCATATCGAACAGATCTACCACTTATTAGGCTTGCTTTCGATGAGAATGACCTATAACTCAACATTTCTATGTGAATTTGGTCGGGTCGCCGAAAAGGTTATATATAAGACAAGAACATATTGTACACTTTGCAAATTCGTAACATATTTTATGAAAATGATGGACATTCTGAAATTAATACATACCATACATTTACATTTACTTCATTTAGCAGACGCTCTTATCCAGAGCGAATTACAAATTGGTGCATTCACCTTATAGCCAGTGGGATAACCACTTTACAATGTTTTTTTTTTTTTTTTTTTTTTTTTTTTGGGGGGGGGGGGGGGGGGGGGGGTAAGGGGGGGGGGGGGTAGAAGGATTACTTCATCCTATCCCAGGTATTCCTTAAAGAGGTGGGGTTTCAAATGTCTCCGGAAGGTGGTGAGTGACTCCGCTGTCCTGGCGTCGTGAGGGAGCTTGTTCCACCATACAAAATGTAATATATCATACTAAATCCTGTGCCTCGGAAAGCCACTGGGCAGTTAGGTATGAATCCTTTGGGTTTCCAAAAAAAAGCAGGGAAAAAAGCGTTCTCATCTCGCCTACACCTGTAATATTAGATTTGGATTTAAAAGGGTGGTGTCAAGTTTACCTTGGAATATGCTTCACTCTTAGCTATAGCGGTAAAAAGTGTTAGTGTTATTTGCCTTAGCCTATTTAGCTAGCTTGAACCAGCTAATCTGCCACGATGGATATCAGAAACAAATGAGAAGGAGAGCGATGAGCAGTAAGTTAGCAGCAGCATCAGACCACTGAGTCTGCCACCAAGTCCAACAGCGATGGTGCTCCCGAGCTCCAGCTAGCTCCGTGTGCAGAGCCTACCCACCCTTCCACAAGCGCCGCTATAATGGCTCCACAGCCGCCTCCACCTCCGACTGTTCCTGATGTTAAGTTGCGTCAATTCGAATCTGGTATAAGGAACAAAAGAGGTGAACACACGTCTTTTAAGATGTACTAGTATTTTAATTAATGCAAACACTTGAGTGGTAAATATGATGTTCGTATATACGGGCCCACTGAAAAACCACGCAGGGCAGACAGAGAACTGAGCTATTGTTATAAGTTCTTCTTTAAATACTCTGACAGAGATAGTTCCCACTCCCTGCTGGGCCTGTCAGAATAGAGGCTGGGTGTGGTTTAAACTTACCCAACCTATCGTTGGCGCTCAGGCTGGTCCCAGCCCCTTGGCGCTTCACTGTTGCCGGTCATTAGTTGTTATCTTTACAACTTGTCTCGAGTCAGCAACCTCAGACATAGTTTGTTCTTCTTCATTGTAGCAGTACACATGTCCTTGAGCAGTTTAATAAAGAGGCAGTGTGTGTGTGTGTGAGTCACAAGTCTGTCTCTGCCTACCCCCTAACAGTTCCTCACATTAATCACAGCTTGTTATGTTAAACAATCTATATCAGTACAGCACAAACCTATTATGTTTAATCATTAATGTATTCTTTCTAAGCTAGGCATCACATCTAGTTATAAGAAAATTATAACTAGATGTGATTTCAGGGAGATTTAGGATTCCCCCTTTTGACACCCACTAGGGTGTCACTCATTAAAATACAATACAAACAAAAATAATCACACTTTTATTAATAGGCAATAATGATAATAAAAAGG